GGCAATTTGTCTGACTCATAAAATAGGTATGACAGAAATTCGTTAATCAATCGGAGAATCGGATGTTTTTGTTCCTCGTTTGTATGTATCTGTTATGATGATGCTAATTATTAATGAAATATTCATATTCGAAAGTTAACCGCAAATAAATTCCGTACACACATATCATTTCAATCAAGGTGTAGTAGCTCAGTTAGAATATAAATTCGATTTGTAAAACCAAACGATAGCGGAGGACCAGGGTTCGTATCCCGTGGCGGTCGTTTTTTTTTTGAAAGCATAGGCAGACATGTACTGGTCCTGATGACGGCCAGAGTCTCCTATTGGTACTGGCCCATCAATATATCCACAGGAATATTGCCATTCTGACCAGCATATTATGGGCCAGTAATGCCAGCATGAGGCCGATCAAAATTGTTTGCTATGGGAAGTTTCGATTTTGTCGCTGGAAAATAAGTAAGGAGACATTATTTTTGCTGTCATTATGGCAAAATCACTCCAGCTTACGAGATTTGATATAGATATACTATAAATAGTCAAAATGGAAAAGGAACTCGCACGCTGCAGTTTTAGCATTTTTCAGCTTCAAGGAAGAAATAGATTAAATACTAGTTACGTGCTGAATGAAACAAGATTCATTTTGTGAATCTTGATATTAATTTAGGTTGAAAACTTGAATCTTCTTCGATCGTCTGGGGGGGAGGGGGTAGTACCGCCATTGACCCCCTCTTGTATACGAGCAGTCTATAGGTACCCTTTGACCTATACAGAAAGAACACTCGATTGAGATTTGATTTATGATGATGATATTTGAATGCAGAAAGGGCAGAATAGCACAATGGTTGAGCACTTGGCCTTGGCCAGCAATCTGCCGATCTATTAAGTACTAGGATAGAAGGCGGCCAGATATTTGATGTTTGCTAGGACATCAAGCGCGAATCGGAGTCCTGCCTCAATGGGCGAGCTGGAGATCGGCCTGTTGCAGTACCTGACTTTACTGCCTGTACGCATATCACCGACGTATCTAGACTGCCAGTAGTCATATCGCAGCAACCCGAAAACGTAGGGTCAGTTGCTCGCCTGAAAACGTTTCTGCTCAATACGCAGGGACCCCCAAGCTGTCGTTCATGACTTTGACGTGGTATCGAAATCAACCTAGCATCCATTTTGTTCATAGGCGGCGGCAAGGTCAATGGCGTCGGCTTGAGTATTTTATTTTATTTCAGTGGACGGCTTAATAAAAATATAATATCAAAATCAACTGGTGATATTAATTTTTTCGTTTTATTTTCGCTATCCTTGGAAATATGAAGTGGTTTGTTCTTTGGTGTCAGAATACCATCATGATTAATAATACTAAAGGTGTTTCTTTCCATTGATGTGTTTTTGGGTAAAGAATAATTTATTATTTTAATTTGCTTTCATCAGTTGAGCAAGTATTTAAATCGAATGGAATCATTCATGTTTTGGTACTATACCTGCTCGTCTATTTTTTATTAAAAGTTTCCTCATTCAATAAGGACTCTAGAAAATCATGGAAACCATCCATATTTCTCAAAGTGGTCCAATTGATTTTTATAAAAAAATAATAATAACGGTCTCAAAGTCTGTCGACCACGAAAAAATATTTAATAATAGTAGTGTGTAACTAGTTTCGGCCACAGGCCATCATCAGAGACAAAATTGATGTATTCAAAGTACCTACCTAAAAGATATAATGAATGACTCCTTAACCATGTTCATTATATCTTTTAGGTACTTTGTGTCTGATGATGGCCTGTGGCCGAAACTAGTTACACACTAGTATTATTAAATATTTTTTCGTGGTCGACAGACTTTGAGAATTTTATTGTTTCTTCTTATAAAGGACTCTAGAATTCATAAGGAGTAGAGAAATGAATAGTTTGAGGCTATTAAGAGACCATTGGACCTTAGCCACTGAGGAAGAATATGTTCAGAGTATTTTACACTGAACAGCTTCCTGATGCTTCCAGGCAAGTCTAGGATATTGAAACCATATGTGAATTAGCCGTTTTTTGAAATAAAGTTCTCAAATCTGAGTATTTGGAAGCTATGAGACCTGAATACGGCATATTTCATTCGTTTCTCAGTGCTCGGAGATAACATATACAGTCTGTCCAAGATAAGGTTCACAGCATGGGGATCTCGAAAACGGTAAGAGCTACGAAGTCGGTTAAATGGGGAAAAAGTTGCGCATTCGGAGGCTCATGTCAAGAGCCTTCGAAAATTTTGAAAATTATTTTTAGTTTTTGAGTTATATCGAAAAAAGTGAATTTTTGGAATTTCTATTTTATTTTTTTTCTCCGTTATTATTAGATATACAGAAAAACTAAAAATACTTTTTCATAGCAACTTTTGATGACGTTTAACGTGGTGGTTTCGTATTCGTGGAACCATCATCAACTTTTGTTTTTCAAATACGGTCCTGATAATTTTTTCACAGATTCTGAAAGGTTTTTTATGTGTGTTTCGACCTATTTTCAGCCATCATCAATGTTTTATCGAAATTCCAAAGAAAAAATGTCATCAGATCCACTTATTTTGAAGGAAAATTAGTAAGCACACTAATACCCTCATCAACTGGTTTCAATCAATAACCCATTTCATTTTGCGGGAACAAAAATTCCATCCATACAAATTCAGAATATGTCAAGCGCTAAAACCAGGCGATGACGAAAGGCGCAGGACATTCTGTGAGTGGTATACCAGGAAATTTCAAAATTTTGCAGATTTCCCTCGAACAATAATCTGGACTGATGAAAGCATGGTCACTAATCATGGTATCTTCGATAGAAAAAATACACATTATTGTTCACGAGAAAATGAACATTTATACATTACAGCGAGACACCAACACCGTTTCGGCTTTGATATGTGGGTTGCAATATTTGGTATACGAATTATTGGTCCTTTTATTCACCATGAAACACAGACTTCCGAACGTTATAGAAATTTGCTTGAGAATCATCTTGAGGAAGCTCTAGATGATTCACCGATTGCGGAAGTTCAGAACTGTTGGTTTCAACAAGATCCGGTACATAATTCCAGAGAAGTCCGTGCATTTTTATCCAGAGAAATGGATTGGTACTCATTCTACAGTCCCTTGGCCGGCGCGGTAGCCTGATTTGACACAGCTGGATTTTTTCTTAGGAGATATATCAAAAACTTTGTATACGCAAAGGGACAGTGTCATCGGAGCATTCAATAAATTAACCCCAGAAATGCTTAGTAATGTCTTATAAGCAACTGTGAAAAGAGGATATCTTTGTTTAGAAAATAATAGTTATCATTTTGAACATTTGTTATGAATGTCTCTGTAAGTATTGTCAAAGTAAAGTTGTTAAAGTAATTCGTGTAAGAATTCATCAACAATTTTAAACGCTGCATTGATCGAATGATTGTGTGACATATTTTTCATTCACTTTTCAGTATTGAATAACTAATCCATCAAGTTTGACACTAAATGATCAGAAATAAGTGGAACTGATGGCTTTTTTCCTTTGGAAGTTCGAAAAAACATTGAAGATGGATGAAAATAGGTCGAACCACATTCGAATCACCTTGTATAGTACATGGTTGAATTTAGAATAAAAAAACCTTTCAGAATCTGTGAAAAAATTATCAGGACCGTATTTAAAAAACAAAAGTTGATGGTTCCACGAATTCGAAACGTCGCATAAAAAATCGGTATCACCACATTAAACGTCATCAAAAGTTGCTATGAAAAAGTATTTTCAGTTTTCCTGTATCTCTAATAATAACGGAGAAAAAAATGAAATAGAAATTCCAAAAATTAACTTTTTTCGATATAACTCAAAAACTAAAAATAATTTTCAAAATTTTCGAAGGCTCTTGATATGAGCCTCCAAATGCGCAACTTTTTCCCCATTTAAGCGACTTCGTATCTCCTACCCTTTCCGAAATCCCCATGCTGTTCAACCTTATCTTGGACAGACTGTATATTTCTCAATCCCACCTCCTTTGTCATGTTTAATTACCCTTTCACGACAAATTTCAAATTGTCTCCTCTTCGAAGAAAGTAAATAAAAACAAACTCATGGATTTTCAGTTTTTTCCAAAATAAATGATCGGTGAATGAATGAAAAACTACGAAAATTATGAATGAAAAAAAAGGAAATAGTATCAGAGAAATAGAAATGCACATCAGGAGAAGGCATCTCTGCTCTTCATAAGTATAAAGGAATCTTCCACATTGTATAAAGAGGATTCGCAGTAGGAAGTATTTGAACTTTGATATTGAACGTGTTCAAGTCACGAAAATCGGGGGGCGAGAAATTGAAAACCATTTTGAACGTGTGAGGGGCAGTATCAGATTGTTATTTTTCCTAGAATTGTGTACATCTGAGTGTAGGATCCTTATTAGTATTTAAGTTGCCCTTCACTCCTACTAATTTCTCAAAACACGTTTGGAACTTCAAGGAAGGATTCGTGAGCAATTGAATTTGATAAATGAAGGTTTACTCAGACGCGTTATATATGGTTAATTCCAGAAACAGATTGCATCAATGTATAGAAGTATACGGTCGTGGTCATCGTAGGGACGTTATCTTTACAAACTATAGAGTGTTATAAGATATTTCCTGAATTGTGTTCCCAGTTATAATAGTAATAAGTCCAAATATATTCTTTGTTTTCTTAACAGTGGCTTGTTTGAAACCGTTCAAGCCTGTTGCCGAACAAATAGAGAATAGAGTGTTATTAACTGCAGTTCCATAACGTGGTTAGTGGTTTAGTGGAGACTTCTTTTTCACATTCGATATACTTCTTATAGCATGTTCTTGTGGTTATACTGCATATTTTGTGAATGTTATACTGGTATATGGATGATCTACATGAGCCACACATCAATGTTCATACCTAAAATATTGTAAGATCAACACATTGGACATTTCAAAGTAAACCCAGCTTCGCAATATCTTCCTTTTAGCGATCAGTGAAAAATGTCTGTGTATTTTCAGTGCCCCACTTGTCGCCTTCCAATTCTCCGCCGCCCCAGCAGGAGCACATGGGCCCCAAGCGGGGCAGGTTCCTCATGCGACAGTCGCGCATCAAGCGCGAGTCGGAGCCCTGCCCCGAGGGCGACCTGGAGATGGGCCTGTCGCAGTACCTGACCTTGCCGCCCGTGCGGATCGAACGGCAGTGCTCGGAGCCGATCCGCTCTGTGTCCCCGTCGCCGGACAACCTGTTGCACGTGCCGGATCATACGCTGGTGAAGCAGCATTCGCATCCTATTTTGCCGACCAAGAGCAATGAGGTGAGTTGCCGAGATGATTATAAAGGGTCTCTATAAAGGTGGATATATATATGGTGAAATAGCTCCCTATCTTACAAAACCATAGAAATTTTTGTAGACCTCTGGCCTACTTGATTATGTCGAATTCTATCACCGTAGTAAGGCCGCGCAAAACTAACGCTAGATGGCGCTGTTCCCGAAGTGATCTTGCTACACAATGGTTGTTTTGTTGTTTACATTTACGTATATTAATTCGTAATTTGAAAACATTGAGAAAAAGTGATTGATTCAATGAAAAAGACGTGAAATTTTCATCATATCTGTGAAGTATATGTGGCACGATGTTCCCTGCGCCATCTACAGTCAATCCGGTGCGGCCTTGCTACGGTGTTTCGCGGTCTACACGTTTTGGAAAGAAACAATTGACAAGTGGTTACACCAGTCTATTTTCATCATGGTCTCTATGGGCATGTTCGTTTCTGTTTGCTCAACCTGCAAAACTTGATTTTTTTCTTTGACATTCTCTGTTTGTATTATGCCATGAACAGAGACAACTATGGTGAACGAAATCAACTTTATTGTTCATTTCTGCAAAATCGAACTTTTCAAATGAAACTTAATGATCAACGATCTGGCAATTCTGGCATTAAGCACATTGAAGCTGGTGCTCCTCAGGGTGCAGTTTTATCGCCGCTGTTGTACTAGCGATTTGCCGAGACCATGATAAGAATTTGAAAACAAAATCTTCTAAAACAAAATCTTCTAGAGTAGAGAATTTGCATTCTCCTTTATATAGATATATGTATATTCACATAATATCATTCTGAATATTAAAAAAAAACAACTACTTTCTTGGCTACTTGCCACGTCGAACATTGAATTATGTCTGATGTACAGTGTGTCCAGTTTTCGATGCTTTTGCCGGATATCTCAGTTATCTTTGGAGATAGAACCTTGCGGTTTTCGCGGTCCTGTGCCACTTTTTTGTGAAACTCAAGATGGCCTAATCAGATTTTGCAAGACTGTTTCCGTTTATGAGATACAGGGTGATTTTGAAAATTTATACTTTTTGGACCCCCTCTATATCCACGAAGTTTCTCAACAAAAATGTCAAATCAAAATCTTATCGCATAGAGAATTTCACGCATAATCCAGTGGCGCACCTAATTTTTTTTTTCGGGGTATGGTTTTGGAGATACGACTCAAACTTATGATTTTTTAAATGAAACACCCTGTATTTCATAAGCTCATTGAATTCCTTATTTTTTTGTCTTCAAAATGATATATAAAGAATGAATATAAAATTTTCAAAATTGCTCAAAATCACTAAAATATTGAATTTTGATAGTTGGTTATGGATTTTTCTTATAAAAAACGTTCCAATTGAAGAAATATTTCTTCAAATTTTTCCATGGAGAGGTCAAAACCAATATCAACACTTATTAATTAACAAAACACTAAACTTGGGTACCTGATAGCAACAAATAAATAGTAATAAAAAGTTCATAATGTAGAATAAGCACCCGATTAAATATTTACTAAAATAATTGAATTCCGGAATTATTCAGTAACTCATTCATTGACATGTTCAAATTGATATCCATTTTCCCTAACATACAATTGACAAACTTTCTTAATACTTCTTAATACAGTGAGTGGCCCAACATACTTGAAGAACTTTGTGCAACAACAGAGGCAGTTTTCCAGGAATTACAAAGACATCTTTCAATGATTAATATGTATTGAGAAAGTTTGTGATGGAAAATGGACATCAATTTGAACAATTCAATGAATAAATCACTGAATAATTTCGAAATTCAATAGTTTTAGTAAATATTCAATCAGGTGCTTATTCTACATTATAAACTTTTTATTACTATATATTTGTGGATATCAGGTATCTAAGTCTTGTGTATTGCAAGTTAATTAGTGTTGAAATTGTTATTTCCCCCTTCATGGAACAATCAAAGGAAATATTCTTTCAATTGTAAATTTCTTTATATGAAAATCCCTCGAAAAACCCATAGCCCACTATTAAAATTCAATGTTTTAGTGATTTTTGAATATTTTTGAAAATGTTATATTCATACAAGGGAAAAAAGTAAGGAATTTAATAAGCTCATGAAATACAGGGTGTTCAATTTAAAAAATCATAGGTTTGAGTCGTATCTTCAAAACCACACCCCGAAAAAAAAATTTTTGTGCGCCACTGGATTCTGCATAAAATTCTCTATGGGTTAAGATTTTAATTTGACATTTTCGCTGATGAACTTCGTAGATATAGAGGGGGTCCAAAAAGTATAAATTTTCAAAATCGCCCTGTATCTCATAAACGGAAACAGTCCTGCTAAATCTGATTAGGCCATCTTGAGTTTCACAAAAAAGTGGCACAGGACCGCGAAAACCGCAAGGTTCTATCTCCAAAGATAACTGAGATATCATGCAAAAGCATCGAAAACTGGACACACTGTACATCCAAAAAGAGTGCATGAAAAATGAAAATCCTCTGGAATTGAGAATTGACATTATCTCTCAAATCGGATAAAATAATATGATGTATTACCTATGATATAAAAATATAACTTACCAACATGATCAGTATCGAAATGAAAATTGAAATGTATAGGCTCTGATCTTGATGAGCTTGAAACTTCCGAAAAAAATCATTCGTATCAGTGATATGGGAATTATATCTCTCACAAACAGGTTATATGACTCCACTCGAATCAACTCATTTCGGATATCAAATCCTCATCAGTAACCTGAAGTCCAGATATTCTTTCAGCCATTTTTCATGTTATATACACAATTTTCATCTCCCTATAATATAACTAAAAATATAACGAACTGACATCAAGGGCGGATCTAGTATAGTATACAGGGTGTAATTTGATTGATGGCTGAAAATAAAGGATATGTTTCCTCAGCCTATTTTAAGAAGAAAAGTTCATATTAGCTATAGGGTGTTGTAATTTTAAGAAAAAAAAATTGTTTTCTTAATATAACTTCAATACGGTTCTAGATATTTTCTTGATATTCGACATGCAGATACTAATCAACAAATAGTCATTTTTTGATGCAGGAGATTTCTTAATATTTCTACCAGTGGCGTCTGTTTGGGATGTATCCTGGAGATTTTGAAAAATAATTGTACGCCTTTGATTTTTTCGAGAAGAAAACTGTTTTTTTGAAATTCTCATTTATTTTGCAACAATTTAACCTCCTGAATTTTTTCCGCCCGACAAACCATTTTGGCGTAAAAAAATAAAAACTTTCTTCATTTGTGACATAATGAAATTATTCTGACATTTGATCGAATACGTTGCGTCTCATTTCCACAAGTATCCATAAACGTGACAGTTTTTCACATTGGGAAAGTTTCTTCAATCTAAAAAGAGAAATAAAATTTTAACACCCTATAGTTTGAAAGTGAAGTAAGAACTTTTCTTGTTAAAATGAGCTGAGGAACCATATCCTATATTGTCAGCCATCAATTAAATTGCACCCTGTACATATATCATCAGATATTCAGAAAAAAAAAACAAAAAAAAATATTTGACAATCCTTCATGATATTTTTTTTTTTACAGAGCACTACAAGATCTAGTCATTGTCCCGTCGTTCGAGCAGGTCCGGCATTGGGCTGCAATTATTGTTGGAACACGGTGGACACTCACGGCCGGATATTACGAAGGAAGACCAAATACCATTGTCCAGAATGCCAGACGAATCTCTGCATAGTGCCATGTTTCCAGGAGTACCACAAATGCCAAGTGGAGAAGCCCACGAATCCTGACTCTCTACTACCCCCGCCCATTGCGAAATTGTTGCCCAAAAGCAGTAGTTGAATTGATGTGATGCTGTGTAAATAGATAATTTATTGATCATCATCAGTGTCGTATTTTATTTCGATAATGGGGAAGTGGTAGAGAATCATGGTCACATAGGGTGAGATTTTTTTTATGTTCTGGTTCCCACGAAAAGGGATATCAGAGAACATCGTGAGAACCAAGGAAAATAAGGTAGGAATTGATGTTCTTCTTGAATTTCTGGAGGTTATATGCCTCGGGGAACACCTTCCTTGGCAACGTGTTCCAGAGCCTCGCTTTTCGTTGGATGAACGAGTCTTTGGAAATAGATGTTCTGCAGGTCTCTAAAGTGACCACGATAGGGGTGCGAAGCCTCAACTCGACGGGTTAATCTCGCAGGGACTGCCAAGGGAGGAACATGAATCATGAGTAGCTGACTGGAAGTGAAATAGCTCCTGGCTCGAAACAGAAAACCAAGTTTTTGGGATGCACTTTTAGCATTTGATCTCACGTGATTTTCCCAAGAAAGATTAATGCTGATAATAATACCAAGCATCGAAATGAATGTCTTCAAAGGTATGGTGTCTCCTGACAAGCTTATGCAGCAGTGAGATCGGATTTTCTAGAGAAAAGGCATGCTTGTGTTTTGTTTGCATTGAAATCTACCAAGTTATTGGATCCCCATTCGAGAATAATTGTTGCCAAGTCCAAATTTATGTTGTCAACATTTCTTCCTCGTTCGTTTCTGATTCGCCTGGCTGGTATTGGAGCCCTGGAAGAGAAGCCGGTATGGAGGGTACTATATCATCCACTGGACATGAATTTGCTTCACACACACCTCTATACTTTCATATTGCTATCGCGATTTGGATTTGTTTTTCATAATATACTCATCATAATTATCTACTTTGCGAGTAAACTAAAATTATCAAGGCTACTACGATCACAAGAACTACAGCAAAATTAATGTAAACGGATTAGACATGTTTTTACAAACACTTTATTAATGGCTATACCTATCACAAATACTCCTATATTGATTTTCAAAACAATATCTCATAAGGGGTGTTTCTTATCAACGTTACAATTTTTGAATTGTTTCATTTTTCAAGTCACCGTGTATAATAATTCTCAGAATTTGAATGATCCAATATGGCGGACTTCTGGATTTCCTGAAATTGCCAGCGACTTTGTATTTTCAAATGGATCACCCTGTATATTTTTACAAATTCAAGTTCAACAGGTCAAAATAAGAGCAAACTGTCAAATTTGATTTTTTGAAAAAATTTGAATTGAAATCGTTTTTTATTTTACCTCGTGGATAAATGATATGTGTGTTATATGTATTAGATCAGTTGAATCATTCTGTATTTATTACGTGAAGATGTTATTGCGATTGAATCATACTATATTGTATTGAACAAATATCGCTCAAATCTCACATTCAATGCTGGTGCTGAATGTTTTTTCAAAACTGCTAACAAATTGTCTGCTGTTTGTTCTGATTCTTTGACATTTTCTATTTTATTTAATATCTTCCATGATTCCTCCCCGCGTGGGTTCGTACCCCACACCTGACACCATGTTTTATTTAATACTTTTTGTAATAAAAATGATATCTATCTGTCTGACTTTAGAAGCAACATTTATTCACTGACATGCTCAGTCATCATGACAAATATAGTATGATTCAATTGCAACATCTTCACGTTATAAATACAGAATGATTCAACTGATCTAATACATATAACATCCCCTATTATAATTTTGAACTCTTATAGGAATTTTTATGATTCTCTTATTTTTTCTAACAGCTAACGGTGCGACTTGTATCTGCCCATTTTCATCAATTTCTATACCATCTAATAATCTTCTAGCTGGTTAGCTGTTACAAGAAATGAGAGAATCATAAAAATTGCTGAATGATTTCAGAGTTAAAAAAAGGGATGTTATAAGTATTAGATCAGTTGAATCATTCTGTATTTTTGTAACGTGAAGATATTGCGATTGAATCATACTATATTGTATTCTCATGGCATGGTGACTGAGCATGTCAGTGAATAAACGTTTTTATTAGAAACAGTATTGAATAATAGTTATTTATTATACAAGGGAAAAAAGTAGTAGATTTTAGCTCCAGGTTGTGTTGTCTCCCGACGCGTAGCGGAGGGAGACAACAAACCGTGAGCTAAAATCTAATATTTTTCCCGTGTATAATACACTATTTTTTTCTGTGACAGAAGAAAGGACGAATCAATATTGAGAAGATTTTACATTATTTTGATATCTGAAAATTATCGACGTGCAATTTCAAGTTTTTAACAGTAGGGACACCGCGTTGTAGGCATCTTTATCATTCATTTGAAGTTATCAAATATCTGATGTCACTTCTGTCAGTCTAATTTTGTGATTTTATTTCAAGAAATTGCGAATTCAGTGGTTATTTAGCAATACACGTAACCGCGAAGTCGAATGGAAGATAAAAGGACTTGCAGTTCTTTCTCGGAGACGGTATTATTGACTCATTTTTCGGAACTATAGCACAACAAAAGCCATCAACAGTGTATACAATATATGTGATATATATCCGGGAAAGAAGTACTCACTTTTTTCCCACGGGAAAAAAGTAATTTATGAAAAGTGACATTTTATAACCTGCCAACAGGGATGAAATGCCAAACTTTTTTCCCGTCACAGAAAAAAACAATGTGTTCTTCAAGGCTATTCACAATGAGTCGCACATAACAGATAAAGATATTTTTTCTGATAAACTATTTTTTGTGTCACTTATCGATGAATCAATTCGCAGTCACATCACATTTTGATCAAAAATTCATTTTATTTCAAATTGAACCCCTATGGGCCACCTACATGTGTCTCTAGAACATACATTAAGGAAAAAAAAATTACATATCATTTTGTATGTATGTATATATCATGTATGTATACATTCAAAAATCTACAACTACTACAACTAGTCCATGAATTTCCTTGGGAATGATGAAGTTTTTTCGAAAAAATTAAATTTGACATGAACATTGCACTTGTTTTGACCTGTTGAACTTGATCACGTAAAGAAATACATATAGGGTGTTCCATTAAAAAAACAAAGTTACTGGCATTTTCAGAAAAACCGGAAGTCTGTCATATTGAATTGCGATGTGATGAAATCCGTGAAACTAAGTATACCAAATTCCAGAAAAATCCATTTACGAATGCAGAAGTTATAATTGTGGCCCGATACCCTCTATCACCCCGTATACCGACTAATCTATCGAGAAGAAATCTATGTCAGGCCAGAAATGAAACCAATTTGAGATGGTCGACGCAATTCACGCAATACAGCAAAAGTTGATGATGTTGAGATTATATTTTTCAATAAACAAAAGAAGTGTAAGCTTATCGAATTACTAGTGCAGCTCATTCACAAAAAAGTGAAAAATATTTCTTGCATTATTTATTTTCAAAATTAAAAATACAAACGAGTGGGAGCGCGCATTGCATTCTGGTGGGAGAACTGGCGTCGAGACGCCTCATTTCTATGCCAAGTGTCTCTGTAGTGAGTTAGTGTTATTCATAACTTTCATTTTCATACGAAAATTTCAAAAGTAAGTACACTATATCAGCAAAGAGAAAAAACATATTATGTATTAATTCGAAATTTAAAAACTCCATTTTATCATCAGATCAGAAGTTTTTGCTTGACCATTATCTGCCTATCATTTTGAGAAGTTGATAGCATGAAATATTCAGTCCATGTGTAATTATCTATAAATATATCTGGCACAACATTCACATGGAACAGCTAACACTACGCTAATGTCTTAATCTTTGTATTGATTGTAAATTATTCCTTGGTGAAAAAAGTGAGTTGTGAGTTGAAAATCGAGAGAAATTTTTCATGCGCCTCTAAATCAAAAATATGTTCATGCCAATAATTTTTTTGATATGATATGAATATTCAATTATTATTACTATGCATGTGAAGCGAATATTCCCTCCAGAGTTAGAAATAGATATTTCGTAAATGAATGTGAACTTGCGAAACTTGATGTTTAATATATGATTCGAAAACTTGGCCAATTGACAAAAATGCTAAAATTATGTTTGATAATACCAATAATATACAATATAATAGAGTAATAATTGGAATCTAATATTCAATCAAATCTAAGAATTGGTATACCTATTTTTTCTCACCAAATTCCACACCACAAATAAAGATTACGCCATTTAGCGGAAACGAGGTATCGTAACAGTGACTCAGATGTTCATTTTGGTAACAATTAATCAGTTACTCATTTTGAGTTTATTGAAACATATCGGCACTTGGTATTATTTACGATTATTTATAGTATAAAAAAAAACGTATTCAATTTTGACTTCTATTGTTTCTGAAATTATTTCTCTTTGGGAAGAATATCATCGTTCGTCTTCAATGGTTTCAATGAATATTGGCTCAAAGTCTGTCAATTGCCGATGCCGAGTCGATTCTGAGATTCATAATCTTCTAGAGATCAATCGGTGTCAAAAAATATATATACCTACCACCCAACCTACATTTGTTGTGGTAGGAATAATAATACCTATATGTAGATAGACAATTATGAGATATATATTGAACAGAATCTTAGATTTTTTCTTTTGGGTGTATGATAAATTGACATTGAATTATTATATATTGACAGTTCAAATGACCCTTCTTAGTTGGTACACTGTTATTGAAGAGATGCCAAGGACAATTTTAGTTTGAAATCTCGAAATTTTTTAATGGAGGTTCAATGAACAATTACTAATAAAAATTATATTCTCGTGGACGATTTCTGAAAAAAAAAAAAAAAAAATTTTTCTTTCGGTTGCATAAAAATTATAAAATTTTTTTAGGTTCATTTTCCCTTCTTTTTATCTCATTCATTTGAGTATTCAGATAGATTCTACCTGATATCATTGAGAACTAAATAGTTAATCTTTGAATACTGTTTCTATAGGTTTATCGACGAGGTGGGTCATTCATTTTACTTGATTATTTGGGAGTTTCTGTCTTCCTTTCTATAAAATGAAAATATTAGTATTATTTCAAAATA